AGTGTCTCTCTGGTCTCTTGCTGGCTGTCAGCCCAGGCCGTTTTTATCTTCCAGAGGTAGCTGGCCACACGGCCCTCTCCACAACATAGCAGCTTTCTTCTGTGAGGCTAGTGGGGGAATTTCACCACTGCTTGGGATGTCTGACTTCCCTGTCTCTCACTTTAGACCCAGGATTAGGGCTCACATGATGAGGTCACCTGCCTTTTTTAAGATCCACTGATTTTAGACCTTAATTACACCTGCAAAAATCCTGTCACAGCATCACTTAGATCAACACTTAATCGAATAAGTTGTGTGTTCACTAACTAGGGCTCTGGGATCTCGACCGCCATCTTAGAATGCTGCCTCCTTTTGTGGTCTAGGCAGCTGTCAGATGGAATGGGTAACAGTCACCCACAACAAAAGGGATATGTTAAAAGTACAGTCACAAATATCATAAATTAAAAACAACTAAAATTTTAAAAGCACACATGAGGTCTACACATAGATGCTTTAAAGGAAATAATAAAGAATGCAAGGAAATGCAGAACTGGATTCTGGGTGATGGTTGCCCAGGTTAGGGGAGAGGTAGGTAGAGCAGATGCTGAAGGGTTAGATGCAGGTTACTGTCAGAGGACTCGCTTTGGGGTTCAGGTGCATTCATAGACGTGATCGTACTATTTAGAATAGCTAAATAATAACTAAAAGCAGGACAAATATGGACCAGTTATGAAAGAAATCTGTGAACAAAGAATTATGATTTTTCCCATTCTGTACACCTGAGGTCTAATTTTAAATGCTGAAGAAAAGAAAAAAAGACTTGTGAAATGAAAAAACATATTGGAATCATAATAAAATATGTCCTCTGCAGCATAGGGAGAGCAGTTTGGTTTCTGGATGGCACCGAAGAGTCACTGAGTGAATTATCTCCTCAGATTAAACTTGTTGCCCTGGACAACTTCCAACATGTAAGTAGAAATTATCATTTGTTCTTGGAAAAGTCTAATCAGAAGGTATCGGTGATTAGATACCTTCACCCACTCAGACCTCAGTGTACTCCTTATTCCTCCTCCACCTCCTTTGCATCAACATTTAAACGCAATCAAGTCTCTCCATTTGGGGGAGAAAAAGGAAAGAATGCAGCAAGACCCCCCCACACACACACCCACCTCCTGTGGCAACACTCTCTCCTTTCACACACCTTATTCTCCACAGATAACATCGCTAGAAGCTGTCTTACCCTCTGCCTCCATACCTATGCATTCCCTCTGCCTTCCTCCCAGCAAAACCTGTTGAAAACACATCTCTTGACACTCCCTGTGCAAAACCTGCACTCAACCAAGTAACCAACAATGGTTCAGACTTGATGCTCATGACATTTAAGTGCTCTTTGGCTCTTTCAACCACTTCCTCCAAAAACCCCATTCTGGCTTTTCCTTCATCTCTCTGAGAACTCCTTCCCCATCTCATCTGCTGGTTCATCTTCCTCTGCCATTGATGACATGGGTTCATAGCTCTGTCTTCACATCCTCAGTTCCTGCTCCCCGATCTCTCTAGAGTAGCTTGTCTGCACTCACAGCATCAGCTACCACATGTCCACATCCATCTTTGAGGTCTCTTCACTCTGGGCAGGAGAAAGCCACTACTCCCAGGAAACTTCTCCAATGTCCCTAACACATCAACCTCTGTATCCCCCAAACTGAAGTCAACATTTCCTCCACCCCCACCTGTATTGCTTAGGGTTCTCCAGAGAAACAGAACCAATGGGGGGGGGGGTGTTGAGAGACAGAGAGAGATTGAAATTGACTCCTGAGACAGCTTGACTCATGAGATCGCAGGAGTTGTAAGTCCGCAGACGGCTGGAGACCCAAGGAAGAGGTGATGTTGCAGCTTGAATCTGCTGGAGGCAGAATGCCCTCTTCTTCAAGACCTTTTCTCTTAAGACTGATTGGATGAAAACAACCTCTATTATAGTGGGTAAGTCTACCACTTCGCGTTTAAACACATATTAAGAACACCTTCAGCAAAACATCTAGATTTGTGTTTGACCTAACAACTAGGTATGATGGCCTACCACACTGATATCTGAAATTGACCATCACAAATATCACCTTAGAAAATGGTACCATCATACAACAGATGCCTAATCTAGGATCTGGGGAGTTTGCTTTGCTTCCTTACATGATCTGAACTTTACACAGCCAAACTAGCACCATCTATCATCCAGCCTCTTATGAGCTGCCTGCCTACTTGGCTAATCCCCTACAAAGGCAGGATCCCTTAGGAATCCACCAAGCCTTCATGCACATGGATCTCCTAGAAGATGGCCATAGGCCACTAGAAGACCCAAGGTACACTAGACACAATTGGTGAGATTTGGGGAGTCTGTAAAATATGAATCTGCATCTCTGTGGTAACTCACTAAATCACATTCAATAGCACTTTTGCAAAATTAACCGATTGCCACAGTATAAAGTCTCTGGAGACTTCAGGAATCACTTGGTTGGCCAGAATGTTCTAGATGAGAAAGCTGGCTCAAATCTCCTCACTTTTTCTTTCCCTTCAAACACTAGTTGAGCCCATCTCTTGAGCAAGCTCGAGGGATGCTATGGACACTACAAGGCTATAACCGCTTTGGGACCCTGGAACCTTCCCCATAAACAGGTGGGTAGAATGAGGATAAGGGCAGAACCAAGCCCCTGATGATGCCACTAGCTTGAAAAGAGAGCGAAAGAGGAAGGAAGTGAGTAATTCTGAGAATCAGAAGTGGAGAAACAAGGTCACATGTGTGTGGCTTAGACCCTGAGTTAAAGTCAGGTGTGATGATGGCAGCTGCCTCTTTCTCAAAATTCAAGGCCAAGAGCTTGCCAGTGCTGCAACATCCTATTAGCAAAGATTGAGAATCCCAAATACAAAAATCCAAAATCCAAATGCTCCCTAATCCAAAACTCTTTTAGCACTCAAATGAAGTATTTATGGAGAATTTAGGCTTTCAGACTTGAGGGTTAGGGATACTATACCTCCAGAGACATCTAGCATGTGCTCCAGAAGAGGCACCCCAAGCACCCCCTCCTTGCTACCCTTCCTTCCACCTGCCTGGGCTAAGGAGGAAGCAACCAAAAGAGAGGAGGTAAGTGTGGTCAAACTAAGGTCTGTGGCTTCTCAGTCAGAGACTCAGGGAAGGAACTAGCCCCCACTGTGTTCACAAGTGCAAGTTTGAGGGCAAGCGCATAGCTTATCAGGAGCTTCAGCTAGAACTGCCAAGAAGAAGCTAGAACTGAGCATCGGCCTCAGAAGTAACCTTGACCATTGAGGTACTCCTGCCAGAGTTGAGATCATATCCAGTTCTCCAGACTCCTAATTTTGTTCTCCTTGCACTGATCTTCCAGGAAAGTAGAAAGTGATAGAGGTGTAGTACTTATGAAGAGAAGGATCAAGCCCACATCAGTACCCCCTCCAGCCTAGAAAAATACCTTCACTGAGTCACCTTGCATCATGAATTCATCAACGGAAGAGTATTCCACATTTAGAATGTTCTTTATTCACAAATCCCCTTCACACACCTTATTCTCCACAGATAACATCGCTAGAAGCTGTCTTACCCTCTGCCTCCATACCTATGCATTCCCTCTGCCTTCCTTTCACCAGTTAAAAGCCAACAAAGTCCTACCCATATTGAAAAGTTCCCCCTGCATGTGTTCCTGGACTTCCCCCAGCCCATCTCCATGACTTCATTCCTGCCCTTATCTCCTCTCTTCCCAATTTTCAATATTTCGTTCTCCAGAGGATCATTCTCAAAAGACTATGAACATGCCAATTTAAAAATACCCACCCCTCTAAAACAAAGAGATACCACTACATACTTATTAGAATGGCTAAAACTCAAAACTCTGACAACGCCAAATTGGGGGAGAATGTGAAACAGAAGAACTTTCATTCATTGCTGGTGAAAATACAAAATGATATAGCTGTGTTGGAAAATAGTTTGGCAATTTCTTACAAATCTAGCCATACCTTAAGATATGATCCAGCAATTTAAGCTATCATATCCCTTGGTATTTGCCTAAATGAATTTAAGATTTATGTTCACACAACACCTAAACACAGATATTCATGTTGATTTCTATATTTACTTATATGTCTGTACACATAAACATCTGCATACAGGTTTTTGTGCAAACATAAACTTTAAGCTTGATTCACTATTGCCAAAACTGGAAACAACTAAGGTTTTCTTCATTAAGTGAATGAGGAGCAAACTGTGGCACATCCAGACAATGGAATATTATTCCACATTAAAAAACAGCTGTCAAGTCATTTTTAAGACATAGAAGAAGCTTAAATGCATTTTGCTAAATGAAGGAAGGCAACCTGAAAAGGTTACATTCTGTATGACTCCAACCATATGCCATTCTGGAAAAGGCAAGGCCATCAAGATAGTAAAAAGATCAGTGTTGCCAGGGGTTAGGGCTGGGGAACCCTCTGGCTCAAATCTCAGTGAATGGAATGAAGAGTGCAGAGGATTATTAGGACAGTGTAACAAAAAGGATAGCATTGCTAATAAACTATGTAATGAAGAAAAATAAACTATCTAACAGAAAGAAAAAAGGAAAGATCACAGCCCTTTGATTAACCACCTGTAGCTCAATTCCTTGTCTTCAGAATTAACCACCTGTAGCTTAAATTGTTTTATTTGAGAGTTTGTTTTCATAGCTCCTGAAAAGAACTGAGAAGATGGAAGGAGCATGACCCTTTCCCCACATCTGCCAGACCACATTCCAAGGACCCTGATAAGCAGCCACAAGCACAAGAGAGGGAGGAAAAGGAAAAACACGAAGGCGGCCATTTTCACAGCTGTGTCCTGCTATCAGTAGTGATAAACTTTTTTACCCCTTCTAATTCCCAATAAAAACACTGTGCCGACATAGGCGCAGCCTGGCGTGTCCTTGGACTGAGAGTGGGGCGTCCAGCTTCTAGCTCGGAACTTTGGTACTGTCAGCAACCAAAGAGTAAAATTAAATATGAGTGATATTGAGAAAGGCAAAAAGATTTTTGTTCAGAAGTGTGCCCAGTGCCATACTGTGGACAAAGGAGGCAAGCACAAGACTGGGCCAAATCTCCATGGTCTCTTTGGGAGGAAGACAGGTCAGGCTGCTGGCTTCTCTTACACAGACGCCAATAAGAACAAAGGCATAACCTGGGGAGAGGATACGCTGATGGAGTATTTGGAGAATCCCAAGAAGTACATCCCTGGAACAAAAATGATCTTCGCTGGCGTTAAGAAGAAGGGAGAAAGGGCAGACTTGATAGATTATCTCAAAAAAGCTACAAATGAGTAATAGTTGGCCATTGCCTTATTTATTACAAAAGAGAAATATCTCATGGCTTTTTTTTTATGTGTACCATAATTTGATTGGTCTCATTTACCAGAATTCAGATCATGAATGAGTGACAGACTATTTTTGTTGGACAGTCCCAATTTAACTGAGACTGGCTTGTGCTTAAATGAATATGATCGGTTTTTTGGATTTTGATAGTGATTCCAGTTCAGTAAATGTAATCACTGTTTTCCATTTCTAAAGATATGTTCAGATTTAATCAGTGATGTTTACCTTTTCACAAAGGTAGTCAATTGCCATCCCAAAGCCTATTGAAGACTGGTTTTATATTAAGATTTTATAACTGATTATGTGAATATATTTAAATACTGGAGAAATCCCCTCACTTGCTTGGTCTCAGAACCAAGCAAGACTCACTGATGTTTTAATTGGTGTTCGTTAGCCTGTTAAAGGTGAGGGCTGAAGAGAAGGTAGCAATGTTTACTTTGTACTTTTGATCTTTATTATGCCAATCTAATTTCCCTGGATCTACTAAAATGCTGCCTTTTATTTATCAACAGGCATTTTAGTGTGGTTTATGGTTTATGGTCAAATAAAGAATATTTAACATTTCTCTTATTTTATAGACAATCTATAAGGTCATGCTTTTAAAAGTCAATATGTCAAGAAATGGCAAATTAAACTTGAATTATTTACTACCAAAGAAAAAAAACACTGTGCCATTGGGGCCAGCACTTCTTCTTTCCTTCTTTTGTATCCCATGTCCTTCCAGTCCCCCAAAGTAAAATAAACTTTCTGGCCAAGTGCACTGGCTCTTGCCTATAATCCTAGCGCACTGGGAGGCTAAGGCAGGAGGATTGATTGAGCTTAGGAGTTCAAGACTAGTCTGAGGAACAGTGAGACCCCCATCTCTACTAAAAATAGAAAAATTACCCAGGCCTTGTTCAGGGCACCTATAGTCCCAGCTACTTGGCAGGCTAAGGCAAGAGAATCACTTGAGCCCAGCAATGTGAGGTTACAGTGAGCTATGATGACTTCACTGCACTCCTGGGACATCAGAGTGAGACTGTTCTAAAATGAAATGAAATGAGCCTTCTTTCTTAAAACTATTCTTTGTGTCAAGAATTCTTTTTCATTCCACACTGTAAATTCCCACCCTGACAGGAACTATGCTGCATGACACCATAAAAGTGGTTGCATGACATTTTGCATTTAACAAAACCTATAGAACTTACAACAGGAAGAGTGAGCCCTGATGTAAACTATGAACTTCAGTCAATAATAATGTATCCATTATTGAACAATGCTAACAAATGTTCTGCACTAATACAAGATGTTTATAATAGGGGAATCGGCAGAGTGCAGCATAGAGAAGTTAAGAGGAGGTGCATAGAACTCTCTAGACTTTCCACTCAGTTTTTCTGTAAACCTAAACCTGCTCTAAAAAAGGAAGTCTATTAATTAAAACAATTATGAAAAATATCCCCTCAGCCCACCTCATTCCTCTGTTCGCTCATGCAAGAAAACTTCTTCAAAGTTGCTTTCTCTCATTCCTAGCCTCCCATTTCCCCCAAGCCTCTCTTTCTGTATTAGCTTCCTACCAATGCTGTAATAAATGATCACAACCTTAGTAGCTTAAAAAACACAAATTTATTATCTTAGAGTACTGTCAGGACCACACTCATCTTGAAGCTCTAAGGGAAAATCTGTTCCTCACTTTTTTCTACCCTGTAGAGGCCTCCTGCATTCCTTGGCTTGTGGCCTCTCATCCTTTACCTTTAAAGGCAGCAGCACAGCCTCCCCTTACGTCTGGCCTCCTCTTCCATCTTTCCTTCTTTCTCTGATTCTGATCCTCCTACCTCCCTTTCTTGCAGCCCTTGACATGACTTTGGGACCACCTGGATAATCCAGGATTATCTCCCCATCTCAGGACTCTTAATTTAATCACATCTGAAAAATACTTTTTGCTATACTAAATAATCTATTTACGGGTCCTGGGGACTAGGACATAGACATCTTCAGGAGCCCGTTATTTAGCCTATCACACTTTCTACCTGGGCTGTACTGAACCAGCTCTTGTCAAGAGGTTACTGGCACCTGTGAGTTGCAAAGGCTAATGGTCACTTCTTCATCCTTGCTTGTCCTGTCAGCCGTATTCAGCAGAGTTGATCACTCACTCGTTCTTGAGAAATTCTTTCCTCTTGGCTTATGTGACCTCTAATCTCTATGTTTCTGAGAATCCTGACTTCACAACTCTGTCTAAATGTGGAAGTAACCTAGGCCCCAGCCCTCCGACCGCTTCTCTGTCTGTACTTTAGGTAAACCCAATGCAACTGATTGCTTAACATTCCAGCTCTATCTCTACTGAGCACCCAGAAATTTACACTTCACCCGGTGCCTTTTTACTGAGGCCTGACATTATCTATCTCCCTGATGTCATCATTGTGTGTCGTCAATACCTGTTTACTTTTAAATAATCACAAACTTCATAGGAAAGTTGAACTATAACACAAAAAACCTTTTCCTGAGGAATTACCCGGTGCCCCATCACCCCTAAATTCTTTTCTATTTACTTCCTATAAACAAGAACATTGCTCCACCTAACTACAATACAACCAAAAAAAAAAAAAGATCAGGAAACTAACTTTGATTGAGATGATAATCCATCTTATCCTGTGTCCCCCTTCAAGTTTCACCAGGCACTTCCTTGCCTTCCTGAAGTAGGTGTTCCAAATTTACCTTGTACTTTCTCTGCCCCTGACTTGGAATCAGCCCTTTCTCCAAGGAACCTATTACTTTTACTGAGGACTTATATCTAGAGTAAGGTGACCAGATTTTAACATTGGTAAAGTGGGACACCATTGACTGGGAGGAGGGGGCAGGTTTTTAATTAAAAATTTAAAAATTTAATCTATATGGAGCAACAAAAATTTTCATAGAACACAAAAATAGTATTGTAATATATATTTTTTTAAATTTCAACATAAGTACAATTTACCAATATAATACATTAATAAAAATTATGTATAGGAAGGCGGCTGTGGTTCAAAGGAGTGGGGCACCAGTCCACCTGGGCAACCTTGCCCAGGAGGGGAGTAGGGAATTTATATTAGTTTTTTCATTTCCAAATGAAGTTACATTAACCTCTTCATTCCCAAATGGAGTTACATTAACCTCTTCGGTATATTCCCTTCCCATTCTCCCGCTGTTCCCTAGCTTGTCGTGCATTCTTTCCAAAAATTGGGACTTTTTAAAAACGCCACCAGATGTGGGACAAGTTGTTAAAAATCAGGACTGTCCCGCCAAAAGCAGGACATCTGGTCTCCTTAATCTAGAGTCAAAGATAGATATAGGCAAGTTCATCACTATTTGAGTATTGTCCGGCTTTGCTGAGGGCAGGGCACAAGGGTTGCGGGGGTGGGCATGGGGCTGGGGTGGGGTGTGCACATACACACTTATATCTCATAGGCCAGGATTAGGGAAAACATTTATACACACATTCGTATCTGTATTTACATCTGTCTGTGGATCTACCCGTCTGTAGAAAATCATGTGTTCATGTCAACACTTCCAATTTTAACCCCACATCATAGGGTTAGTTCTAGTCTCTCCTTTTCAGTACTTGTAACTTCCTTCTCAGACAGATTTTATTTTTACAGCAAAGAAATGAATGTGAAAGCCAGACCAGATTTTTTTTCCTGAAACAAAGACCATTATCAGCTCATTTTGAAAAAATACTGTGTGTTCTGAACACATACGAGAATCGAATACACTGGATGAGTATTTGTAAACAATCGTTACAATTTCCTAGAGCTTATTATAATTGTTATTATTATTACTATTTTGAGACAGAATCTCACTCTATCACCCTGGGTAAAGTGTGGTGGTGTTTTAGCTCACAGCAAAATGTAACTCCTGCGCTCAATCGATCCTCTTGCCTCAGCCTCCAGAGTAGCTGGGACTACAGGTACTCACCACAGTGCCTGACTAATTTTTCTATTTTTAGTAGAGGCCAGGCCTCACTTTTGCACAGGCTGTTCTCCAACTCCTGAGCTCAAGCCATCCACCAGCTTAGGCCTCCCAGAGCACTAGGATTACAGGCTTGAGCCATGATACCTGGCCTGTTGGGGGATTTTCTAACTACCTTTCTGCTCTTAATTTCTAGTTTAATATCATTAAGATCTGACAGCATACTTTGAGTGATTTCCATTCTTTCAAATTTGTTAATGTTAATTTTATGGCCCAGAAGGTTGCTATTTTAATGAGTGTTCCATGTGAGCTTGTGAGTATAGGTCTGCTGTTGTTGGATGAAGCAGTCTATCAATGTCAATTAGATGCAGCTGATGGATGATGCTGGGCAGTTCAACTACGTATGTCCTTACTGATTTTTCTTTATGCTGGATCTGTCAATTACTGATAAAGGGATGTTGAAACCTCCAGCTATAATAGTGGATTTGTCTATTTCTCTTTGCAGTTCTATTAATTTTTGCCTCATGTATTGTATTTTGATACTTTGTTGCTAAAGTGCATTAAGTATAACAACAAGTATAACAAAGTATAACATTAAGTATTGTTATACTTTCTTGGAAAATTGATTCTTTTATTGTTAGCTAATGCCCCTTTTTTTTTTGGCCGGGGCTGGGTTTGAACCCACCACTCCCAGCATATGGGAGGGGCACCCTACCCTTCTGAGCCATAGGCGCCACCCACTAATGCTCTTTTTTGAAAAAAACGTTTTGAGACAGAGCCTTGCTATGTCACCGCAGCTAGAGTACAGTGGCATCATCAGAGCTCACTCCAATCTCAAATTCTGAGCTCAAACAATTTTCATGCCACAGCATCCAGGAGTAGCTGAAACTACAGATGCATGTCACTACATCCAGTCAATTTTTCTATTTTTAGTAGATATGGGATCTCACTCTTGCTCAGATTGGTCTCAAACTCCTGACCTCAAGTGGCCTTCCTGCCTTAGCCTCCTAGAATGCTGGGATTACAGGCATAAGCCACATGCCCAGCACTAGTCCCCCTTTTTACACCCTGATAATTTTCTCTGTTCTTAAATCTGCTTCCTTTTGATTAATGCTAAAATGTCAGATATTTCTCCATTCTTTTAAATTTAACCTATCCGTATCACTATATTTAAAGTGGGTTTCTTATAGACAATATGTACTTGGTTCTTGTTTTGTTTTTATGCACTCTTTTGATCTCTGTCTTTTAATTGGTACAGTTAGAGCATTTATTTAAAGTTATTACTGATACTGTTAAGATTAATATCCATCATAACTATCTTCCATTTATTGTACTTGTTCTTTGTTTTCTGGTTTGTTGCTGTTGTTTATCTTCTACTCTTTCTGATTTCCCCGGTTTTAATTGAACATTTTTATATGATCCCACTTTCTTTCCTTGAGTATTAATTATACTTCTTTTTAACATATTTTTAGTGATCACCTTAGGGCTTGTAATAGGCGTTGCAACTAATCTAAGTCCAGTTTCAAGGAACACTATACCACTGGGTACTGAACAGGTGCCTTATAAGAGGATATTCCCAATTTCTTCCTCTCATCTCTATAACATTGCTACTATACATTGCAATTTTCCTTAAGCTATAATCATCCAATACTTTGCTGCTGATATTACTTTGGATAGTTATCCTCAACTTCATAAAGAACATCTATCAAAAACAGCTATTGTGAACAGCTATGCACAAAACCCAGGAAAGCTCTTTACTTATCATTAATGATTTATTATAAAGGATACAACTCAGCAACAGCCAATTGGAAGAGATGCACAGGGCAAAGTCGGGGAAAGGGGCGGTGAGCTTCCCTGCCCTCTCTGAGCGCACCACCATCCCAGCCTTTTGATGTGTTCACCAACCTGAAGCTCTTCAAACACTGTTGTTCAGGGGCTTTTATGGCGCTTTCATCATGTAGGAATGATTAATTATTAACTTAATGTCTAGTCCCTCTCTCTTCCTGGGAATTTGGGGAGGGATGGGGCTGGAAGTTCTAGGCTTTGTTGATAATAAGGCTTAGTCATTTTATGACCAGCCCCCATCCCAGGGCTATGTAGGGGCCCACTAAAGGTAGCCTCATTAGAGCTCCTATCATCCCTATCACTCAGGAAATTACAGAAATTTAGAAGCTCTATGTCAGGAACCAGGATGAAGACCAAATACCTTTCTACAATAACACAGAACCTTTAGCAGATTACTCACGGTAATTTTAAATTCCCGGTCTGATAATTCCAAATTCTCTGTCATACCCGAGCCTTATTCTTAAGATTGCTTTGTCTTTGCAAAATTTGCTTTGTCTTTGCAAAATTATGTGGGTTTTTTCCTTCTTTTTAGTATGTCTTGTAATTTTTTTGTTAAAAGCTAGTCATAATGTATTTGGTAATAGGAACTGAGGTAGATAGATAGTCCTCTAGTGTTAGGAATTAGGTTTATTGTTTGCTGTAGCTGTAAGTGTCAGAGGCTTTAGTTTTACCTACTGTCCTCATTTTTGCCTCCCTTGTTGTCTTTGGATTTTCCTAGAAATAGCTTCGTAAGTGAAGTTATATTCCACTGTTATTATCCTGGAGTCCTGTTGACATATTAGTAAGATATTGAGAAGGGAAAATATTCTATAGCCTTTTGATTATATCTCAGGTGTTTTTTTGTGTGTTTGTTTGTTTGTTTTTTAATGGGCCTGAGTCTCTGGACTGTGACTTTCAGAGGAGTTTCTCTTTCCTTTTTCCTTTAATTTTGCTAGACGAAAAAGCTAAAGGGGGTTGAGTTGTCTATTTGCCCTTCAGGTAGGTCAGATTAGGTTCTGGTAAAGTAATTTTCCTTGAGGACAGGTTTTTGTTACAAAACAGTCTGGGTATATTTCAAAATGGTTATTTTACCCCTTCCTGGGGCTGAACAGAAGGGAGTTTTTCTCTGTTCTTTACCATGAGAACCTGGCAAGGCTCCTTGGAGTAAAACTCATGAAAGTGGAGGGACCCTCCCACTAAGACTAGGCCAGCAAGAATTTTTAACTTTCAAGCTAGTCCATTCTCAGTCTTTAACAATTAGCTAATTATTGTTTATGTTTTCCAGTGGTTTAAAGCAGTGGTCCCCAACCTTTTTGGCACCTGGGACAGGTTTCTTGGAAGATGATTTTTCCACAGATAAGAGGGGATGGTTTGGGGATGATTCAAGAGAAGAGAACCTGTATTTGCAGCCACTCCCTGATGGTAGCATCACTGCCTCAGCTCCCCCTCAGTTCATCAGGCGTTAGATTCTCAAAAGGAGTGTACAACCTAGATCCCTCGTATGTGCAGTTTGCAGTAGTAGGGTTCATGCTCCTATGAGAATCCTGTGCTGCTGCTGACCTGACAGGAGGCAGAGCTCAGGCAGTGATGCAAGCAATGGGGACCAGCTATAAGTACAGGTGAAACGTCCCTCGCCCACCTACTGCTGTGACACCAGTAACAGGATATGAACCAGTACCTGTCCACTGTCCAGGGACTGGGGATCACAGGGTTAGAGGCTTCTCTGCACTTCTCTGTTTTCCAGTTTTTGGGGATTTCAGTTTGCCCTGTGACTCAATTTACTGAGGGAAACAAGAAGAGTTGTTGGGTTTTAGTTTATTCAGCTTTTCTCTTGTTGCAGGAGTGGAATGACAGCTGCCAACCAAACCCTTTGCATCTCAGGATGGACTGTGCTTGTTTTTAAAAATCATTTTCCAGATTATGTATGGAAAAATATTTACTGTAGAACACTTGGAAAGCAGAAGAAAAGAAAAGAAAAATCACCTACCATTGGCCAATCTGCAATAAGTCACAGGTAACATTTTGATACATTTCATGTTTGACATACATGTTTATATAAAAGGGTAGAGGCAATACAGCCAGGACATTTGCATTAGCTTTCCCCCAATTTTCACAGACTATTTCTGCAAATTCTCTAAAACTGTGACTGAAAGTATTTTCAGTGTTGGATGTTTTTTGTAGGGAAGAGGATGCTGGATGAGTTCCTTTCAGATCTTAAGGGGCTGATGGGAATCCTGCCGAAGGCTACTTGAGGGGCAGGCCTGTGTTCACCTATGCCTAGCCTACAAAAGAGATCAGCATATGTTACTTGATGTCATGGATAAAAAATGTCCTTTTTTTCCATCTATAAACAGTATGAAACCTCCTCCGCCTCCCTTTCCTAAGAGACCAAAAAGCTTAAAGTGAAAATGAATGCTCGATTAGAATAACCGTGGGGGGTGGTGTAGTTTTTTTCCTTCTCCTTCAAGAAGATTTTAACATTCCCATTTTAGTAACCGTAGTGTTTAGAATATACATACATTTTACTGAAAGCTATCTCATATTGTTTTGGAAATTGACATGGTATGAATAAGAGGTAAACAAACTATTGAAGAATTATCTCTTTCCTCCCCCCATTCCAAAACACATGGATTGGCAGGGGGCTGGAGGAGGGTAGGGTGCAGAGGAAAGACCCACAGCGAAGGGGGGTGAGAATGATATTTACATTTACTCAATGGTGGGTATTTTTAACCCTATTTTATTGGTTGGCAAATTATGATCACAGAGGTTTATGTAAGTAATAAGTGGGGGAGCCAGGACGCAACCTATTCGCTCTTCCATTCATTCATTCATTCCTTCCACAAATTTTTGAGTGTCTTCTCAATGCCCGCCCCTGGAAATGCTGCAGTAAACAAAACAGCCAAAAAAAACTTTATCCCTTTATCTAAGGTGCTTATTTGGCAGAGGCAGGTTTTAGTTGGGAGCAGACGTCTACAACAGACCCTAGTAATTTAACAGACGTTGTATCTCCGACCCTCCTCCGGCGCGCACTGCCCCCGGCCCCGCCCTCGCCCCGCCCCGCCCGGGCCCAGCTCCGCGCCCCGCCCCTAGCTCCGCCCCCAGGCCTGGCCCCACCCCCGGTTTGGGCAGCGGGGGTTTGGGCAGCGGGGCTCTGTGCCAGCGCCGAGACCTAGATTCTCTGGCCAGCGCCCGGCGCGCGCACCCGCGCTACAGGCTTTGTTGCCGGTGGGAAAGACACCCCGGCGGCCAGCAAGCCAGGCACCTTCCCTAGCTGAGTCCGTGGGCCGCAGCCCGACCGTGCCAATAGGTTTTGCCTGTCTCTGGCTGCTACTGCCCGGGACGCCGCCAGCAGGGCTCGTCCGGTGCACGAGCGCCGAACCCCGGTGCGGAGGGGTCTGAAGCTGGCATCTCTGAGGGGAGCCGCGGGGCGAAACTGCAAAGGTAACGAGGTAGGGGGCTGAGAGGACCCGGGGAGGGGACCGCTGGTGCAGCTGACTATGGAGCAGACGCGGCCTCCCTGCAGCCGTTTCCCGGAATCCCCCTCCGCTTCCTTTCCTCTCGGGCTCCTCCCCTGGCTGCCTTGCGGGTCCGCCCTGGGGACGTCGGCGGATAAGCCCGTGCTGCTCTCTGGGTGAACGCCCAGCGATCCCCACGGCTCTCCGGGCAGTTTAAGGGTGCCCAGGACACCGGGGCACTTGCCATTGCATGATGTGAGTGGAGAAATTTGAGGGCTGTCAAATTCCTCCAGATCCACTCCGCCTTACAAAACTGGGTTACCCGCCCTGGCCTCGGTTTGGGGTCTCCGGCCCGCTTGCCGCCCCGAAAGCCGCCAGGATTAACCATCTCTTTTTCCCGCGTGGGAGAGAGGTCACAGAATGACGCCTCGGGCCGAAGTGCCCCACATCCTTCCAGATACACCACTGAGAAGCCGCGGGTGGAGGGGTAGGAAGGGGCGAGGGGCCATGGCTGCTGAGACAGAGGGGTAGACCCCTTTCAGGGTGACCGGGAGGGATGAGATATTGAGATCTTGGGGGAATATTGAGAGCTATTGAGCGCTTGCATTTCAACCCTGAGCAAATCAATCCCGTTACACCGAAGTTGGGTCCATCAGTGTTTTGTTTGGCTAGCGATTTATTTATTGAGAAACTCTGTGTATCTCACCGCCTTTTTCTTTTAATATTTGTCTGATTTGTGAGCCAAAAGGAATATTTGGATCCCTCTCATAAATAAGGGCTATGTACCATATAGAGAATCATGTGGTGGAAAATACTTGAAAGTCATAGACTTGTAGGCAGCAGGATTTGTTACTCCCAGTATCTAGGTTGAATGTAAAATCACTTATGTTGTATTAATGGGGGTAAAAACAATTTTTATTTGTCTATGATATATTAATACTTGGATTCTAATAAAATGTCCTAGACCCTAGTGAAAAAAAAATATTTCTTTGAACGTTGTTGTGTTTGGCAAAATGTCTTTGAAACTAGACTGACATGCTTGAGCATCCTCGGGTCACAGCAGGGCCATGGCACGAGGTGCTGGCTTGCCACCAGAAGAACCCAACCAGAGTCCCACACACACACCACGGAGGGGAGGGGGGGATGTGCTGAGGTTTCTAAGTGCGCTGTCCACCCAAACCCGGTGGTGGTGGTGGTGGTGGTGAGAAACCGTACCAAAATCTGCCCTAAGAGGTAAAACGTCTCATAAATTTTCCTAGCAATTTAGGAATGATTAGTAAAGTTTTGTTTTGTTTTGTTTTGTTTTGCAGTTTTTGGCTGGGGCTGGGTTTGAACCTGCCACCTCCGGCATATGGGGCTGGCGCCCTACTCCCTTGAGCCACAGGCGCCACCCTGGTAAAGTTTGATAGGTTTTTGTCTCAGGTTTTGCCTTGAACTTTTAAGTTTTATAGTTGGAGGAAGTTGTTTGTTTATTTATTTATTTATTTATTTTTGAGACGGAGTCTCACTGTGTTCCCCTGCATAGAGTGCTGTTGTGTCACAGCTCACAGCAACCTCAAACTCTTGGGCTCAAGTCATCCTCTTGCCTCAGCCTCCCAAGATTCTGGGACTACAGGCACCTGCCACTACACTCAGCCATTTTTTGGTTGTAGTTGTTGTTGTTTGGCAGGCCGTGCGGGATTTGAACCCACCAGCCCCGGTGCATGTGGCTGGTGCCCTAGCCACTGAACTACAGGCACCAAGCCAGTTCCACAAAGTTCTTCAATTTTAGGTCATTAAAAATCTGAATGATTCATTATTCTTACCTGTATTTCCTCTGAAGTTTCTCATGTATTTATTTACAAATTAAAGAAAACCTGCCTGAGATTTGCTTCATGTCATGTGACAAATGGTACTATCTTAGAAGTGAAATATTTATTAAAATATAGATTCCACCAGTCACACTTGTCCACACAGAGCTACATGGGGCTCATTTTCCTGTTACATTTATAAACCTCCTAACTAGCAAAGAGTCAATGGCATGAATACTTTTTGATTTCATTATTTTATCAAAACTAAAACTTGGGCGGTGCCTGTGGTTCAGTGAGTAGGACACCGGCCCCATATACCGAGCCGAGGCTGGCGGGTTCAAACCCAGCCCCCGCCAAACTGCAACAAAAAAATAGCCGGGCATTGTGGCTGTTGCCTGTAGTCCCAGCTATTCGGGAGGCTGAGGCAAGAGAATCGCCGAAGCCTAAGAGATGGAGGTTGCTGTGAGCTGTGTGACCCCATGACACTCTACTAAGGGTGATAAAGTGAGACTGTCTCTACAAAAAAAAAAAAACCTGAAACTCAACTAGAAATGCCATTGATTCTAAGATACACTTTCATTTTATGTAATCGAATAAAAAACATTGTCCATCACACTGTACCGTGTCACTGTGCAGAGCAATCTGGTTTCAGAAATACTCAAATGTGAAATGGAAAAGTGCATTTTATAATTCCTCAAGTATCCATGAGCAGGAGCAGAGCTCACCAGCACCTTCCCCAACAGTCCTTCTTCCTTGGAAGAGTGAAAGGCGTAGTGTGCAATTCAGGGAAGGGTAAAGGAAAAACAGGTAGTTGGCCGATTTAAGAGGTAAGGAAAACAAAAGAGGAACAAAGGGATTTATGTAGGATGGGAAGAGTTTGGAGCCACCTAAAATTATCTCCAGAGCCAACAGGAAAATAAGAATACTCAGTGACCACACAAGACAGGGTTTTGCAAGCTGGGTCATGGAGAGGTATCCTGAAGAATTGCGGGGTTTTGTTTGTTTGTGTTTGTTTTTAATTCTCAAGTTTATAAAAATGCATTTAAAATCTAAGTGTTTCCCAACCACCAGAAACTATACTGGCAAATCATCAAAAATCATAAAATTCTTCCTAAGAAGCAAACACTGAGTCTCATCATACTTAGCTTTTCCCATTTCTGACCAACGAGCACAGGCCCTTCCCCTGGGCAGAGGTGAATGAGGTGAGGAGTCGCCAGGCAGGAATAGTCTGCCCAGAATCAGGAAACGGGTGGATTCCACCTCAGCCCTACCCCAAAGATAGTGAGCCCGCTTACTGGACACTTACAAAATCTTCCAGGAGACAGCAGGGCTCAGGTTGCCTAGGCTATACAGAACTCGCTGACAGCAGGTACAACTGTCAAAAGGAAGTCAAGATTTCACACCAGTTCAATAGGAAGTGGCAGTGGCTAAAGCCGGCACAGTACTGGCAAGGTAAACAGAAATGGTTGGGGGGCAGTAAGGGGGAAGTCAAGGAAAGGGAAGAACACCATAGCTTACAAGGAGTCTTACTGAAAAGAAAGTATTGTTCTTGGAACAGAAAAAAAAGTCCTTACAATTACCTTACACCCTACAACAACTTGGCAAAAATATGAATTCAGTAAAATAAACTCAAAGATGAGAAAAATCTTTAAATGGAGATGAAAGGGAATAAATTGAAGACCATAAAAAAACAATCACAGAAGAAATAAGTTAGAGCAAAGAGCAGAGTAAATACTGCTAAAAATCAAAATAATAGAGGAAAGGCTTGA